ACCCAGACCTGCTAGTCTCTTGGTGTCAAAACCCCGAAGTCTGTACAGTAAGCTACCCAGATGCATACAGACTTCCTGAGGTGTGAAAACTGTGGCCTGCAATGGCATTCCCTTCTTTCAAACTTCAAAATTGCCACTACCTCTCAGGCACGCTGGGAAAAAAAAAAAAAAAAAAAAAAAAAAAAAAAAAAAAACACTATCCTTCTTAATCTAAGTGCTACTAATGACTCCTAGAAATTAACTATAAATGATTTTTAATTACTAATGTATGAATCTTTAATTTTAATAGCATCCCCTTTCTTTTAACCTAGCATGGAGTGCGTCCTCATGATGGAAGTTACTAGCCCCATACCTAAGGTCAGAGTAGGTGGATAAAACAAAACACTTCAGCAGGTGGACTGGGTGATTTTCTCTGAGTGATTGAATTGTCAGATAAGAAGCCAGTAGAGTATGCTGGCTTTATGATCCTGTGACCTGTAATATCACCTACACACCCATCCTTAGACAGAGCCCATTCCTGGCTCAACAACTCTTTCCATTGCCCCCAAATCATGAACTTTATTCAAGCAACTAGAGAGGGTAGTGGCTAGTAAACAGAATGTCCCCAAGTTAGATCCAGAACCAGAGGCCATATGGTTCTTGCATTCCCTGGCACCAAGCTTCTTCTTTGGCCCAATTTGTACTATCAAAACTACTTCCTGATGGACAGAATTAACTAAGGGGCCATATCATGCCTCTGCCTCAAAAGCTTTCCCCAAGCCACATCTTTGAAGGTAGGATCCCACCTTTTGATAGGTTAAAGGAGGGGCTCTCAGATCTGGGTCTAGGTTTGCACAGATTGACAATAGACAGGAGGAGCTGCGGCAGAATTCTGCACAAGCTGGCGTCCCCCCACCCCATGCCTGGGGCATCACCGGCTGCTGGCAGCTCTGTTTCACCATCCAGAAGGTCCAGTCTGGGGCTGGGGCTTGCCGGTGCTTGACAGCTGTGTGCATTGCCAGGGCATTTTTCCTACCTCACCTGCTTTTCTTTCCTGCCTCACCAGGCATGGCTCGAGGGAGCCCCTCCAAAAATACTGAACAACAATGATCTTCTCAAAATACGCAGAAAATATAATCAGTTGATAGACAGAATTGTCTCAAATGTATTGTTTTCTTTCCCAAACTTTTTCTAGGCTGACGAATGACCCTAGAGCTGTGAGCCTTGACTTGTTCCTGCCACGGAGCCACACCTCAACTCTCTTTCCCAGGCATTAAAAAAAAAAAAATCTTCAGTACCTACTAGTGCTTAGAGACTTGAGCATGATTATGGACGTGCAAAACTGATGTACACACATCAAATTTTCACACACAAAAAATACAGAAACCACAAATCACTACCTAGCCTAATGGCCTGTTAGAACACGTGGGCTTAGCTTGGGTTTTTCCACCTCCACCTGTCATGGAGACTTAGTGCCTAAAATGTGCACAGTGCAACGCTCCAGCATTGCAAGGCGAGGCGTGCCACAAAGGGCCACTGTAACTGAATCCTCTACTCATGTATCACCCTAAGAACCTGACATGTGCCCACCACTTGTCAAGTACCAAGAGACCTGCCACAAGCACAAAGGCACAACTCAACAGTGCCCCGCCTGGCATTACTTCACTCTAGGCCACACCAGGGAGTAGGGCTCTTGGCAGTGTTCGGATTGGCCAGGGTCCTTCAGCCATATCTGCAGGTGTATGGTCACCCCGTGGCCAACCTTTGGCCACAGGAGGAGGTTGGGAGGATGCTATGAGCAGTTTAGCAATTGCACAGCAAACACGCTTGGTCCAGGAATGGCCCCTTCCCCCCACGTGGGTTGGTGTCTGATGCAAATCCAACATGACCAATCCCAGGTTTTCGGATCCTATTCTAGGGTGCACATCAAGAAGCAGCTCAGAGAACTAAGCGCTTGCCTTTGCACCACAAATGCTTACCTCTCCTTCTCAGGACTTGCTCAGAGCTGATGTAAAAAGACACAGGTTTGAAGAAACAGTTGTTTGTCAGAAGGTAGATAAAAGAGGCCTGGCTTTGTGTCCAGAAGGCTAGAGGATGTCAGGTGGCTGCCTCTACAGCCTGTCTTGCCCCTCTCTGAAAGCACACTCAAAAGACCCCTAAAGCCTCCTCCCTGCAGTGCCATCTCTCCCCTCACAAAGCAAAAGAGCCAGAAATGGAGCGAGGTAGGGGAGAAAAGAAGGAAGGGGTGCTTTCTTTCAGCCCTCAGTCACCTGGAGCCAATCAGTTTCCACCCTGATGCCTTGCAAATCAGAGCTCCTTTACCCTCTACCTCTTTGGCCACCTGCCAGCCCTATCCTCTTTCCTTCCTTAGGCTTAGGATGGTATGGAGCTCTGGACCCACCCTTCCTCTCCTCCTTCCCCTCCCTTTCTCCTTCCTCCCCTTCTTTCTTTTCTCCTTCCCTCTTTTCCTTTCCTTCCTTCTTCCCTCAGGCATAGGTCACATAAGGCTAGACTTCCCCTGGTCAGAGCTCCCCACCAGGCTACTGACTGCCACTGGTCCTTTGTCCCTGCTCTGGCAGGAGCTGACATCTGCTGGGTCTCAGAGCTGCTTGCCCTAGGTGACAAGATCCCGCAGAGAGCCCAGGGAATTGCTGAAATCATCCAAGAGAGACACCCCCGGGCCACAGCAGAGTTTGGGAAGACCCTGCTTTCTGTGCACACAGCTCATTGATTCACTTTTCTGATAATTATTCCTCACTCATCACCAACCAAATGACGCTGGCCTCAACCCAGCCAGGCAGGAAGGAAGGTGGCTCTGTGTGGAGTAGAAAATGAACCTGCCTGTGTTCATTCGAGGAAAAGAGGGAGTGAATGGCGTGTACTATCCCTGTGCACTGAGCAGGGACAGAGGGGCTGCTTTAATATTCTGCTGAATGTGGTATTTCTGTTAACCCTTGCTGGAAAGATTTTTCAGCTCACAGACTAAAGCTCCTTCCTACCAGGCAAAGTTTCCCTGATGCACCAGGCGAAGAGCTGTAGCTCCATGGTGGGCAGCACCAACAGGCCCCCGTTGGCACAGCCCTGTGTACCAGGGTGGGCACTGACACAATGGCACCCTCAGGGGCTTCTACCCAGCAGAGATCCTGGCTGGCCCAAAAGAGGGAGCTGGAGAGGAAACTGGATCCTACACTTGGCTTATTCACAGGCATTGGCTCTTTAAACGACCACTTCTCTTGCCTGAGATCCTGGTTTAGGCGCTGAGTCCCTAGGGTGAAGGAGGGGCGCGCAGGAGTGCACCTGCTCCTCCAGACCCACTCCCTGACCCTCAAAGTCCCGGCCTCACCCTGGGCCTCCGCCCCAGATCTACGAAGTGCAGTGCAGAGCTCACAGGCTTTGTTGCCAGGTTGAAGGCTAGCAGCTCCTTGCTTTTCCCTTCTTCATCTGCTTCTTCACGTGGTACTCAGTAAGTCAGCCCCAAGCTCCCCTTTCCTAGGCTACTGACCACTCTTTTTGTGTCTCCAATACCCCCTGCATGCTGCAAAAAGCAACACCCTCCCCACAAAGACCAGCATTGTGACAGAGCAGAGGCGGGGGCGGGGGATAAAAACCCACCTTCAGAAAGGCAAGTGAGAGCTTTCTAGGCACAGAGCCGCGCACGCCCTGGCCGCCACCACAACAAGCGGAGGAGTGGTCGTCTCTCCCAAAGGCCAGGGCACCTTAGCTGCACCTGGAGGCCCCAATTCTGTTTTGGAAAGGCCAGTGATTTCTGAGGGGCGGGGGTCGGTGAACTATACAGTATTTGGAGAGAGTTTCCACTGGGCGTCGAATCACAGTCTCGTTGGGAAAGGACATCCCAGTGAGTCAAGTTCCCAAATGAGAACACAGAGCGGAGAAAGCCAGGGCTGTGTCCCTTTGCTCCGCGGGGTCTTCCGCGGAGCTCGCCCAGCGCGAAGGTCTAGAAATGGGTGCAGGCGGGCTGTTGCGGCGCATGACACCCACCCCACCCCCAGCCCGGAGAGGCTGCCTTCCTCCCGACTCAAACTCCTCTTCCTCCTCTGCCGCGGAGCTGCGGCCACCACTCAGCCGCGAGGACAGAGGGAGGGGGAAAGGGAGGGCGCGGAGGCGGGAGCGGGGCAGGGATTTCCCACCGGGATTCGCGGGCGCGGCGGGCGCCCAAGTCCCCTGGAGCGCCAGGCGGGTGCCCGCGGAGCGCGTTTTTCAGGCCACCAGCTGGAGGCAAAGCCCAAGCTGAACTGACAGTGTCGCTGCCCATCAGCTCCCAGCCACCCAGTCCTCTCTCCAGGACGGCGGGTAGATTGGGTGAGTTTAAGCCAGACCAGCTCTATCCAATGCGAAAAAGATGTCGACCTCGCCCGACTGACCCTGTAAAGATGCAATCCCAGAAGATGCCGGACCACCGGATTACTCCCCCAGGGTGCAGCCCGTAAACTACTCGGGCACTCTGTTACGGGGTCTACTCGCGAGGTGCCCAGGCAGAGGCTCTGGTGCCCAGCGCTTGCCAGCCAAGCACAGCGTTTAGGCGCCTGGACAGTGAGCTGAGGAAAGGAAGGTGACGCTTGGCCGCTCGGAAGCGCAGCGGTGGCCGGGACAGGAGAGCCAGGCAGGGGTGACCGTACTCCGGGAGCCTGCTGGCCCGAGGCGACCCCTCTTCCCCAAAGCCCAGCTCCGCCCGGAGCCACGGAGCTCGCACCGCATTGCAGCGGGACCCGCGCTCTGGGAGTCTGAGAGCCGTGCGTACCGGCTGTCAAAGCGCGCCGGGGCGCTGAGCCCGGGGACTCCTCGAGCCAGTTGCGAGCGCCGAGAACAGGCTCGGGATGCGCCAGCGGCTGCCGCCCTATCCCCGCGCTCGGATGCGACTGAGACTCCCGGACAGCCTTGACCGCAGGTTTCCGAGCTACTGGCAACGCAAAGCAACAAGAGAAGCCCCGCGAGCCGCAGAGCGCGGAGACCCGGAGGCAGCAGCCACCAGCCGCTAACTTGTTCGGCAACGGGTACGTTACCTTCCATTGCGGCCACCGCGGATGCCAGGAGGAGCAGCAGCAGGCAATCCAGGGCCATCGCCAGCCGGCGGCCCCCAGGCCGAGCCCGAGCCCAGACGGCCGGGCGGGGAGGGCGCCGCGTCCAGGGGCGTCGCTGCGCTCTCCGCGGGTGGTTTCTCCGTATCCTTTCGCGCTCTCGCGGGTACCGGACTTCCAGGAGCGCGGCGTGGGCGTGGGCGTGGGTGTGGGCGGGAGTGTGCGCGCGTGGGGCGGTGCGGGCGCGCGGGGATGTGGGTGTGCATGTGTGTGTGTGTGTTTATGGGAGAGGTGGGTGTGTGCGTGCGTATGTGAGAGAGAGAGGGCGAGGGAGAGCGAGCCTAGGAGAGCGCGCGAGAGCGTGTGCGTCCTGGTGTCACATTGCAAGCTACCGCGGAGCTTACGAGAGGATGGAGCCGGCCAAACTGACGAGGGAGGGCGCGGGATCCCCCACCATCAGCGCTCTCCCCACCCCCTAACACCTCCTGTCCAATCAAGGAATCAAACCTGCAAAATTCTCCCGTCCAATCAGGCTCGAGCACCTCCTTACACTGGCATTGTTAGTTTAAGAAAAACTTTTGCTTGCTAGACTGTGCAGGAGGCCTGCGGTGGCGCTAGGAGGGGTCCGGGCTCCCTCTCGTGGTGCGCTCGGAGAACCGCACCGGCCCGCCCCACCTCCCCACGCTGTGGTCCAGGGAGCCCAACCTAGGAGTGGATGGAGGGTTTTTTCCTAGCCCTCCAGGGACTGAATGAGTTTTATTCACATTGCCTGCTGTCTTCTCAGCGACAAGGCTGTCCTGAGCCTCCTATTTGTGTAGCTCCTTCACCTTATGGTTGGGGTGGTACTTACTGATCAGTTTTATTAGTAGTTTCCTCTTATTAAAATAGGGTTTCTGTTCTTGTCCGTTTTTTTAGCTCAAGAATGTTTCCTGCGCAGGCAGTTCCTGGCCTTTAGAAGGTGACAGTGCGAGTTTGCTGAATAAATGAACGCTCTTTTACAATGTGCTGGCCGCTGCTCCAGCGACTACAGGCACCAAACATGCTTCCTATCCAACTCCGCGCTACTCTACTCTTCTTCCAGAAGGTTCCACCCACCTTTAATGCTCATTTGCCAGCACATTCTGTGAGAGCCCTTACAGGGTTCTGCCCCTAGAGCAGAGCCACCTCGGGGAGCGGGGATGGGGGACACACAGTAGTCACAACCAGCTATTAGGAGAGAGACAGCAGAAAGAGCCCAGAGTGATACAAAAAGAGAGGGCCAAACCTGGAGGTGGGTAGAAAAGACTTTGTTTAGGCAAGACGAGGGACGCAGGGTATTCGAAGTAGAAGCGATTCTCCAAGGCTCAGTTGTATCAGCTTCAATTTCTTTTGCTGTCTGTGAAACTTACAAGAGTGTTCTTGAACAGACACTCAACTTGAGACTAGAGGAGCGTTTTTCTCCTCCCCCAAACTCTAGACAGTGGACAGCTGGTCTGTCCCCAACCCTTTCTTAGAGTTGCTAGTGGGTGAACTGTGGGACAGACAAGGTGGCTCTTTGCGATGACTCTCTTTTCTGGACTGTGCTAAATCAGCTGCCCTTTCCAAGTGTTTAGTTTGTCCTCCACTGAAACAACTTCCCTTCCACCACAGCCAGGCTCATCCTCAGCTTCTGACAAGTCTTTGTTTCCCAGATCTGACTCAGGTTGCCTTGCTTCTCTGTTGGGAACCATAGAAGAAGCCAGAAAATGGTCAAATGTGTGAGAACAGGACTAGGCCTCAGTGCCTAAAACAGTCAAACTACCTCAGTATTGAGATAAGCATCCTCACTGCTTAATGTCAGCTATTAGTTACTAGGCAACCATGTGTCATGTTTTACTAACTTTGCAAAGGTATAAATAAACATCCATACTGTTGCTCTGGGGGTCATTTTGTCAGCCAGGCAGCTGAGCCACTACCTAACCCAGCTCTTGTCTTCTTGTCTATCTTTTCCTCATTCCTGCCACATTTCTCCCCAGGTACAACAGATCACACTGGGAGATCAATGGACCCCTACACTTCCCCTACCCTCCAGCCCACCCAGCTAGGGAGGAGGTGCCATGTTCCTCCATTTCCTCCTCATCTTCACCCTGATTGCCCTCTGCCCTTCCCCAGCACCAGCTGCATCTTGATGTCTCTGGAGCAAGCTGAGGTCACACTGGACAAACAACCATTGTCCTCCTAGACCTTTCATATCCTGATATCAGCTCTGGCCCATTTCCATAATCCCACTTTTTCTCCTTCCTGTTCTCTCGTCTCTTACTGCTTCTTCTGTTATCTCTTCAGCTCTCAAAAGAGATGTGCCACAAGCTCTGTCCTTAAAGGCTCTCCTCCCTGAGTCCAAGGCCAACACACTGACAGCTCTTCCACCTTCAGCCATGCCTTGTGTTTGGTTGACAAGATGGGTGGGTGGATGGACAGATGGATGGATATGTATGCATGAGTTCAGGATTTTTCTTCCCCTTCACCTCACCAGAGTCTCTTGGGAACCTTACCCAGCAAAGTGCTGTGTACCACATCCTCCGCCTGCTGTAGGTCTTCCAAGCCCATGAGTTTGCCCCATTTCTAGCCCATGCTGCCTTCCCATGGACAGCTGGAGAGCACCTGAGTAGCCACTCAGTTTTTATCCCTTTAGAATCCCTTGGAGCTCTGGTGCCAATTTAATCTTTTTCAAGCCAAACTTGATCTAGACCTTCCAGATCTGGCTGAAGATAGAACTGGAGCCCACCAAGCACAGGATCCAAGGAAAACCCTACCTGAGTCTTTCCATCTGTGTCAGGATAGATACAGAAGACTTGCCAACCAAGGTTTCTGAAAATACCCATCCCCAAGCATTACCCTAAATATTTTAAATCAATGGGATTGTGGAAGGCCTTCAAATATGATCCTATGGCTCTCTCTTTGCAATTGATTGCTGTGCAGTGGCACTTGGAATCTATTCTTCTTGTTCCAATAGTTTAAAACTGTTCTGAGACCTCTTTGGGGGATACCAAGGAAGAGAAACACCAGACAGACCACACAGTTTCAGACCTCACTTCTGCTCCAGCAGCTTTTTGTGTGTGCATTTTTATTGAGCATCTACATCAAGTCCTGTTTGAATCAAATGTTCTACAGGAAGAAGAGAAAGAGGGAGGGAGTAGATAAAAGGCTTAGAGGAAAGCAGAGAATGCTGGATGGAGCCAGGGGAAAGAAGTGGTATGAGGAGTGCTGACTTCTAGAACACGCTGATGGCTCTGGTAAGAAAAGTGCAGATTTAGACTATTTGTTAATGTGGCCAATAATTTAGGAGAGTGATTTTTCCTGAGCACAGTAAACAGTAATTTTGCTGTAGAGCAGTGAATTTTTTCCTTGGAATTGGCTGTGATTGGTAAACATCCCTGAAAGCACTTGGTGCTACTTTTGCCCCACAGCATCTCCTTGGTTATTTTTCCCTCTCTTCTGTCAACTGCTCACTTGTTTTCCTGATTAATCACTGAGCTATTTGATATCACTAAATCACTCCTTCAAGTGACAGATGCTTGCCACCAAGGCCAGCAGCCTAGGGCTCTCAGGAACCCAAGGGTGACTGAACTCTTTTGCTAAGACTCTGAGGCCCTGGTGACTAGAAAGTTTGGTGGCAGCCAGCCAGTTCACTCCCTACTGCTAAACAGTTTCATGTCTAAGGAGCTGAAAAGCATTGCCAACGGTAGCAAGTGCACAGCTTCTCTCAGTAATCCTATC